CATCCATCTGCATGTAGCTTTAGTCTTTCTTAGAAATATCCTGAATGTGATCATGCATGTGAAACACGTTGCACATTGCCTCAATCACCAAAAGCAAGAGGTTATCATTACTTGCATTTAAAAATATTATTTGCCTAGGGGAAAAGAGGCTGTTTCCCCAAGCATCATCCGTGTGGTTACGTAACTAAGGCGAGGTCACCTCTTAAGACAAAAGATTACCTTTTCGGCTGGGCTTCTACCAAATTTAGACAGTGAGGTCTACCCAGAAAAGTGAAGGCAAAGCTCATCACCAGTCCTCTCAATACCTCTGCACACTCTTCTCTAGCTAAACCTCTTTCAGCTCCCCTTTCTCCCCAAACTACTCCCAACAATCAACAGATACCCAAAGTACCCTTTGTCCATCCCAGAGTTTTCTCACACACACACAAAAAGGGGAGAAAACGGAGATAAAAGAATACCCACTCAGAGCAATGACTTGACTGATTAACCTTGTGTTGGTAAGGGAGAGGGTGGTGCTTGGATTTGAGGGAAAGAAATTCTGATGGCTGTATTTAAAGGCTATGGGGGTGTGGGTGTGCCTAACATTTTGAACAAAGGGAAAAGTTCTTCTCCCCTTACTATGCACCCTAAGCGATCTCTTCTATCTCTGATTAAGAAATAAAAACCTAAAGACAGTCAATTAAAAACAATCAGAGAGGATTTTTGAAATAGGCAAAATCAAATCGCTTTTTTGATTTGCTTCCACAGCTCTATAAAAGTCACTTCTGGTTTGGCGCCCTCAATTTGAATTGCTTTTTTCTCACACAAATTCTTAAAAAATTTAGTTGATCTTCTAATATGGAAATGAAAAAGGTACATGCTGTTGGAAAATTGTTTACTAATCTGAAACCCAGCTCTCTGACTTAAGTTTGTTTGTTTGTTTGTTTGTTTTTTTAATAAGAGGTTCTAAATCCCTTTACTACATCTTTGGGTGTTTGAAACATCTAGCTTGCTTTCTCATCTGAATTTGAGACGAGACATTTTCAAAACTAAAATAACTTAATAATCAAAAATAACAAAATAACCAAATTCAAATAAATTGGGTGTAAATTTTAGAAAGTGTTTTCTTTTATCTGCAAATAAGATACTGTAATATCACACACGGAAGTGTTTTATAAAGAGACATAAAACTACTCCATAGCTAAAGTCCTTGCAACTGTGGTCTCCAGAGGGCAGCAGAGAGTTATACACATTTAACCACAAGTTTCCTCTTCCGAGTAAGGGTTTTATGGCGTTATTTTCTTAAGACTCTAGTGTTCTTTCAATGACTAAGCTCTAACAAACTGGGTGGCCAGGATTAGGAAGGCTGTCTGAGGTCATGGATCAAAGAGATGCCACCGGTTCAAAGGGAGGATTTAAATAATCACTCCTGTAACATTAAAACAATTCATTAACTAGATGAACCAACAAACCACAATTAATACACTGTTGGCTAAAGATACTTAATCAGCACATGTTTATGGAAAACTGATGGATGTGAATAATCATTTCAGGGATCTTTACTCCTAGAAGTACAAAAAAGTACATATGAAAAGTGGTAGTTCCTTATTCACCCACATTTTTTTTTTTTTGAGCATGAGTTGTTTATTTATTTATAAAGACTTATTTATGCATATGGAACTGGGGTACAGGCCAGAGATGCAGGGGCAGTTAGAGGGTTCACTAGAGATGGAGTGGGGAGCAGAACAGGCAGACTGATGAAGAACACTGCTGAGGGGAGCAGCAGGTGGGTCAGGAGAGGTCTGCTGCGCCATGTGGGTCACCTCCCGGGTGGGGGATCAAACTCACACTGAAGAGGCTGTAGCCAGTTTGCAGTGCTGCATCCTAACCCGTTGTGCCTCCAGGGAGGGCCAGCAGCAGCAGCTAAATTTTCAGTGTTTCCAACACCCTTCAGATTCAGAGTGCTTTCTTCTGTGTATGTTAATAAGAACCCACACAACAATTTGGGTTTGAATTTACTTTATTCAAACTTTATTATTATTCAGCACTTTATTATAAGATAAGCTTTGTGTTGATTTCTGTTCAAATGTAAGTTAATGTAGGGGTTCTGTGCATATTTGAGGTAGGTTAGATAAGCTCTGATGTTCAGTAGGTTAGGTGTATTAAATGATTTCTTGACTTACAATATTCAATTTACAATAGGTTTATGGGGTTATAAATCCATCAGAAGTCAGGGTAGATTTGTACTTCCTTTAAAAGATAGCACTAGGGCCCTCCCTGGTGGTACAATGATTAAAGCCCAGCACTATGAAGCTATCCATAGTTACTGCAGCCCGAGTTTAATCCCCGCCAGGGATCTGACCCACATAGTGCAGCAGACCTTTCCTGTCTCACCTGCTGCTCCCTTCAGCAGTGCATTTCAGTTGATTTGCCTGTTTTGCTCCCAACTCTGTCTCTGGTGAATCCTTTCACCCTCAATCCTGCACCCCAGTTCTTGTATACATTAATAAGGGAGATCTTAAAAAAAAAAAGATAACACTAGTATCCCCTCTAGTGTGCCTTCCCAAAGCATCCTAGCAGAAACAACTCCTCCCTTACTGGTGGTCACATAACTACTGCTGTATATGGTTTCCTCTGCTCTAAAGAAGCTATATGATGATGACTTGTTTATAATCCCTTCCTACCAACATCCTCTTCATCTTGGTAATATAAATGTCTAGCGTATCATACATGGTATCTACTCAACAAGCACTGGTTAAATTGAAGATGAATTTGTTTTGAATTTTGCATGCAATTTGCTGCTGCTGTTATTTGTTTAAAAGTATGTTTACTAGGTTTAACCATATGAAATTGCTGATATTTGACCTTTCAGTCCCCCAAATGCCAATTTCATATAAAAACAATAAATATTAATAATGATTATAGATGACTTGAGGGCATATCTCCTTCATATCTGAAATCCGCAGGCCTTGGCCTCAGAATATAAACCTAAATACTAAGATAAGATAATAAATAGGCCAAAAAAGACCAGTATGAAGCATGACTACTATATGCTTATGAACTCTTGAGTCAGGGACTTCGGACAGGGATAGTGGGATGGCTTATCTCTGGGAAGCGCTGGGGCTTCAGATGAAAGACCAAGTGCACAGGAGGCTGGATAACTTGAAGTCTTGAGTCCCGTTGGGCCCACTGATTCAGGTCCCATAATGTGTGTGTGACTTGAGCACCCCATAGCATGTTGGCGGGATTCAAAGAGGAAGAGTCCAGACAGCACCAATTTGAAAGCAGGATGACGATGCAAGTTTCCTCAGATCTACTCACAGAAGTATGCAGCATCGCTCCCTCCCTCCGCATTCAGTGGCTGTGAGCCAGTCAGCAGATGCCAGGGTTCAGGGAGAGGGGTTAGACTCTGCCCCTTGATGGAGGAAGAGCATGGTAGAAGGGCAGGAAGTGGGAGATGGTCTTGCCACCACCTTTGGAAATAACAGTTTAACACACAGTCACAGAAATTCTTGCCAGTGCAATCAGTCCGGAGATAGATGTTTTCAGCTACAATTAAGTCAAGAGTCATTAACAGTAACTTATATTGTAAGAGGGCTATTAGTTTATAAAATAAAAGGACCAGAGGTTGACAAAGTCCAAAGTTACTTTAGTTGTTCAACGATGTCATCAAAGACTTCAGCACCAGGCCTCCCTGATGGCATAGGGGTTAGTCTTAGCGCTGTCAATGCTGCAGCCGGGCTTCTGCCCCCCACCCTCCCAGAGAGCTAACCCACCTGCTGCTCCCCGCAGTAGTGTATCTTAGTAGATATGCCTGTTCTGCTCCCTACTCTGTCTCTGGTGAATCCTACCCCTCATCTCTGGTCTACACCCCAGTTCTTCTATGCATAAATAAAAATAAAATACATGGGCACTTTCTGTTGTTCAGCTCTGCTTAGCACATGGTGTCTTGATCCTTGGCTTTAGTTTGATTACAGCAATTCCAAGTATCAGAAGGAGTCATAACAAGATTTAACAAAGAGAAAGAAGGGTATTTCTTCCCATGAGTCTCTTTTAATTAGAAAGAATAACCTCCTTCCCAGAGGTTGCTCATAGCCAACTTCTCTTAAAGTCTCACTGGGCAGGGATCTGCCTTTGCGCATGCTCATTGCTGAGCACATAGAAAGTGAGGGGGAAGTCGCCAGCATTTTGGCTTCTATGGTAGAAAGCGGTTCTTCCAATAAAAAAGGAGAAAGGAGAAGGGTGAGTGATCGATTGTTGAGTCATTGGTATCTGACACAAGTACCTGCAACTGCTCATTCATCCAACAATTGTTAGCTGATTGTTAAATACAGTGTAGTGCTGAGTCAGGGCACAACAGTGAGTAAAATAGACAACATCCTTGCCTCACAAGGTGTCTGTCTGGCATAGAACAGAGACAGGTAATGAGCAATGACATCACTAAAACAAATGTATGAAGTGCTGTGAAAGGAAGTATGCAATCAATGTACAACTCACTTTAAATATAAAATAATTCTCCATAGAAATAAATTGAAGTGAATGACACGATTATAGTTATACATACTAGAAGAAGATCTTTATGAGACCTAAAAAACAACTGAAAATCATGAATTTTCCCATTACGTAGGAGAGTGAAGCACCATGTCTGCAGTTAGCCATGTCCCTGTACCTAGAAAAGGTACCATCAAGGGTCAGAGTCACTAAGATTCACCACGGACCTGGTGAGCTCTCTCTTAAGGCCATCTGACCTTCTACCCAACACTACGCTGTTCAAACAAGCTGGGTTCCTTGTCACTTGACCAGATCCTTTGGAAACAGACCAGGATTTTTCAGCCTCTGGAAAGTGGTATGTGCTACTGTAAAAAAGTAATTGTGGCAAGTTTAAGGAAAATGTGAATTGTTTTAGGCTGATCTCTCCTTTGTGATTTGAACATTGAGGAATCAGGTGCTCAAAGCTAAACCCGGCCCCAGGACCCCTGATGAACCCACTGTGTGAGTGGCCCGGACACACTGTCACCCACCTTGTACATTCCGTGGATAACAGCTATGGCATCCGCTAGCTGCTGGTTGTAGCATTTTCTTATGATATCCTCATTCTGCAAACCCAGAATAAATACAATGAGCATAACTGTGTGTTTTTAAATATGATCTCATACCTGTTAGTGAGGGACTCAGTATAAATAAAACCATCATTCAAATCAGTACAGTCTGATAAAAAAACTTCAATTTATAAATTGTTTCTCCTAGACCACAGCCACTACAACATGTTCCATTTTTATTTGTACTTAACTAAAGCAACAGAGTATGCACAGAGATACAGATAATTTGAACATTTTATTTTATTTTATATATCTAAGCTTATTTATTTAGTGTTTTCCTAGAATTGCTTCTAAAAGTAGTAAAATCTATAATTCATATCCTCTTCTATTCCTTGTACTTTTAAAATGGGATATGCTTATGAAATATAGCACATATCCCATAAACTAGACATTTCCTGATTGATAATTTAATTTTATCTGTTTAGGATAACAATGAAAGATAGTACAATTAAAAAAAGTGACCCTTGGTCCTCCCTGGTGGCGCAGCGGGTTAAAGCACAGCACTAAGACGCTAAAGCCACTTCCGCATGAGTTCGATTCCCGCCTGCCCCGGAGGTGACTACATGGCGTGGCAGACCTCTCCTGGCCCGCCCGCTGCTCCCCTCAGCAGTGTACTTCGTCGATCTGCCTGTTCTGCTCCCCACTATGTCTCTGGTGAATCCTCTCACCCTCCACATCTCTGGCCTGAACCCCAGTTCTGTATGAATAAATAAATCTTTAAAAAAAAAAGTGACCCTTATTCTGATAGCAATTCTTGATTCCAACATGGAGTGTAAACAGCAAATAGACTATAGAGTCAGACAGAATTTTATAGTTCAGCCTCTTATTCTCTGTCTGACCTTAACCAAGTTACTTAACCTTGGCTGCTCAATTTTCTTATGTATAGATCAGGGATAATGCTAAGCTGGCCAAAGGCTCTAGGAAACTCCTCAAAGCAGCAAGTTTTTCTTGTCCTTACCTTCTGAACTATTGTTAAGGCATAAATATGATCATATAAAATTACAGTTAAGCATCAAATGGCTTGACCTGGAACCTAAACTCTACTGATGTAACTGGTGATCGTGAATTAGTTAATTAATATTTTGGTGCTTCAGTTTGTCATCTGTAAATAAGGGATAATCAGTATACTTACATCATAAGAACAGTGTGATTATTAAACGAATTTATATATGGAGCACTCACAGATGTTCCTGACATACAACATGTACCAGTTATTACACAAGGCACATGCACAAATTATATTGCCCATATTGGTTGCTAATCTCAAAACTGCAGTGCACACACATCTAAGCTACACACAAAATAAAGTAAATGAGAGAACTTCTACCTCTTGATAATGTTTTTCAATCGATTGGATCCTATCCTGTAGAACAGTGAAGAGACTGAAAGATTCCTGTTTAAGTCGATCTTCGAACTTCAATTGAAATGATTGTTTGAGGAACCCGAATTCCACCTGTAGGGATTTAACAATCTAAAGAGGGGAAAACATGTTATTGTAGAGAATAAGGATATTCTTGCTAAGATTCCACTATGTTGCTTAGTTCTGAGCAAATGACCTGGGATGAGGTTAGGGGCCTGTACTGACTTTTAGGATCACTTCTTGAGAGTGGTGTATAGGTCTATATGCCAATAGAGTACAGGACACGAGGTTCCTCAAAGTTACAATGGGGATGGTAAGCTGGTATATGCTTTATGCAGGACATTTAGTAAGTGCCTACCAAATGGCTTTACACATCCTCTGATACAAATTCCACTTGAAAGAATTTACACTGAAGATTCACTGGCATATGAGTGTGCGCAGAGTTATTCCTGAAGTGTATGATTTAAAAGGACCAAAATGTCCATCAATTGAGGGGTAGCTAGATAAATGATATTCTTGTGAAATAGATGAGGAAACTCTGTGTACGAATATGGCAAGACTTCCAAGTTATACTGGAAGTGAAAAAGGAGAAAGTAAGAATTTATGTACTATGGTACCTCATGTGCCAGTTTTGCTGGTTAGGGGTTTTCATGATAACTTGATATTTGTTAGTAAGAAATGTTCTGTTCCTTGAAAATCAAAAAAGATCAAAATTTGACAAAACTGTATGGTGGGCAACACAATGATTCATTGTATTATTTTCTACAGCCTTCGATTTTTTGATAAGAGAAAAAGCCAAAAAGAAGTTTCATAATAACATGTCTATCTTCTGTATATCTAGGAGAGACACAGCAAAACTGAATGACTTGCCAGTGTGGCTTCAGATGCCATCTTAAATAACTTAGCTGAGACAGGACGACTTGTGGGGAAGGGGAGGTACATAAAGAGAATACCAGGAGGGCACAGTAGACAAAGACAGATATCACCTCTCCCCCCCTCCCCCATTGAGAAGGTTAAGGAAATCAGGCCTTCCTCTCTAGATTCATTTTATATACCAAAAATATATGCTTTTCCACACGTCAAAAAAAATTCCAGAAAAAGTAACAAAATGCTTCACTAAATAATTTAACATGTAAAAACCCAGTAGAATTTGACATAATATATAATTAGCTTTCATTACCTTTCATTGAGCTCACTTTGTCAAAGGTGTTAATATTTAAAAAAAATAATCATTTTAGTTATGTCAAAGAAATAGACATAGAGGCAAATAATATCTACAATTATCTCTGAATTACAAAAATAAATCCAGATTTACCTGTACTAGTTTTTGTGTTGATGAACTCAACTCTTTTAAAGGGAAAATTTCACTAGTATCTGTTTGAGTAGCGTGGTCTGTGCTGAAAAATCCAACCTTCAAATCATCTGAAATAGGAAATCTGAAAAAAATTGAGATTAAATATGCTTTAGGCAAAAAATATTTCCTTAAAAATGTGGGCTGTACAGATATTTTTGTGTTATTCAAATTTAAAGATGTAAAAGATGATGCAGTGAGGGATTTGCATGGTCTCCTCATGTCTGGGTTTTAATCAAGATGTTGACAGATGATCAGATCCCCTGGACTGCCAATTGCTCCACTATTACTCATTTTCTGAGATATAATTTATGAGCCTCCTTTAAATATCTAATCCACTGACTAGCCTGTGCTATTGCTGAAGTCATTATAAATTATGCATTACCATAGGAAACAAAAATACTTTATGATTGTGGTTCTCAAAGTTATGGTCTAAGGAACCCTGGGCTTCTAGGACAGTTTTGTAAGGAATCCATGAGTTCAAAATTATTTTTGTAATTATAACATTTTGTTTGCCTTTTCCACTACCATCTCTCAGTGTTCAGTAGGGCTTCCCAGAAGTTGTGTCACTGAAGGACATGAATGTGGAAGCTAATGTGAGAATTCAGCTATCTTTCATTAAGCCAGGCATGGCAAAGCTTTGCCAGAATGTAAAATAATGACATTACTCTTTAAAAAATATTAAAAACAACTTTTCTTTAAAATACATTATTCATATTAACACAGAATTGTATTAAGAATTATAGAATGAGGCCATTCCTGGTAGCGCAGCAGGTTAACAGCACTAAGCACAGCACTAAGAAGCTAAAGCCACTTCCGCATGAGTTCAATCCCTGCCTGGCTGGCAGACCTCTCCTGACCTGCCCGCTGCTCCCCTCAGCAGTGTACTTCGTTGATCTGCCTGTTCTGCTCCCTGGTCTGTCTCTGGTGAATTCTCTCACCCTCCACATCTCTGGCCTGTACCCTAGTTCTGTATGAATAAATAAATAAATCTTTAAAAAAAAGAATTGTAGAATGAATAGAAGTACATTTTCAATTTCTCCTTTTAAATGGCTAATATGGAAACTACAAATACATATAAATAAAAGTTCTTCAAGGTCTCCAATAACTTCTAAGACTATAAAGTGGTCCTGAAACAAACAAAAAGTTGGAGAACTGTTCCTTTAAAATAATTGTACCACTGTCCTGTATTTGATTTTCAAACTCTACTCCTGAATAAAACCTCTGAGCAGGCCAGGAGCAAGTAGTACTTGTAAACTCCTTTTATATATCTTTAATATTGGTAGGAAGGCACCCAACTTTCTGGATTCACATTCTCTGTTAGTTTAATCAACACAGCTGTCTGTTTATAAAAATAACAGCTAAAAAAGAACCATGACAACCAGACTTTTCAATGCAGGCAGTCTTTGTGCTATCTTCCCTTGTCTGCCGGCTAGCTGGAGTAGACAGTGATAGGGGTACCCCAACCCAAACCCCTCTCTGAACTTTAGATTTCTTTCCCATAGAACATAGGAGGTACATCCCACCATCTCAGTGCCAAGGCTGTGGCTGGTTTGTTCTCAGTCCTTCATGGTGATGCCATCCTTCCTGACAGAGGTTTAGGGTTGGCATGGAACTTGGTTTTGGTGAGTGTGACATGAGGGAAGACCTGCTGGAGGGTTGTAGAAAAGCCTCTTACATAAGAGCTCTGGAGAAGCGGTTTCCTCTGTGACTCTAGATTTAGTCATGTGTGGAAGTGGTGTCGTGAGCTACCATATCATTTGCTGCCTGTCCAGGGACAGCCAGTGCACACATGGTAAGTTTTTACAGAGAAGGGAATAATTTTGACTGATGACTTCGTTTAGTCATTAGCTCAACTACCTTTGGAAGCTGTCACGCCTCTGGTATTCCTGTAATATACTAAAATAAATGCACCAATTGGTGACTGTTTGTGTCAACTATAGCTGAAGCATCCTGACTGATATTCTGTCTGTGAGATGTTAAATGTTAAACTACTACCATGTTTTGAAATACATTTTTTGAGGTTTGAAGAAAACTATCAAAGCATAGCAGCAGTCAACTAAAGAGGCTATGTTCAAATAAAAGCTTTTTAATATTCAAAATAAGGACTTTTGATTCATCCCACTAAATTTTCAACTAATCTTTCACACACTTTTAAATATAGTAATAACAGACCTCTCCACTGCACCATGCATTTGAGGAGGGAACATCAGTATTGCCTCATTTCAACAAAATTTTTGGTGTTTTCCACAGAAAGATGTATTTTAGATTTGGTCCAATTCATTTGAGGAGCTTATATTTTTTCTCAGTTACACAGTATGCTGAGAAAGGCAGACTTCATGGGTCCTGGACATGCCTTCACAGTCTTTCTGGGCACGTCAAGAATGCAAAGTCCTGACCACATTTACCACAAGCCATTCCTCAGAGCAAAGTTTGCAATGGCAACCTTGACAGATGATGTAATGTTTTCCTCCTGCCAAGAAGCAGACTTGCTACTCCTCACTATAAAAGTAGTGACTTCCCTAAGCTCAGGGGTCTTTTCCTTTAATACATGTGGAGACATTCATGATGGGTCTTTTGTGTAACACTCAGAGCACCTGGAAGGGAAGTAAATCAATGAATGTGAAGCTGTGGATACTGCCATTGCCATCAAGAGGAAGATCTCTGTCTCTGACCCAGGAGTTTTGGGTTTTCTACCTACAGTCCTGAAACTGTTACAAGCAAACCTTGCAGAGACTTTAACAAGTACTGATCCACAAAAATCCTCTCAATAAATATTTGTGGATTGAAAGTCTACTTTTTAAAGAGTAAAATATAGCCATCCTCTAAAACTCTACCTAAAAATTTATAACAATTTTTTTGTCTAAAAGAGCCAGGACTTGGAAGCAACCTGGGTACTCACTGACAGGAGAATGGGTCAAGCAGATGTGGTATATTCATAAATTGGAACACTACTCAGTTGTAGAAAGATGAAAGGTTGCCATTTACTGCAAATTGGAAGTAGTTTGTGGGAATTGTGTGTAAAAAAGTAAGTCAAAATATAAATATTGTGAGTTCACAGGACAGACTATTTGATAAAGCATCCTACTTGTAAAAACAAGGCACATATTAAATGAAGTGAGGTCTTTGAGGTAAAGAGGAAGAGGGTATGGCAGGAGGAAGAGTTAAAATCACAAAACATGTGATTTTAATGTTCTTTGATTGACTATATCTATCACTGTGCAACTGAATATGAGTTTTTTATATAAAAAGATTTCTGAATTTTTATATAAAAATATTTCTGACTAAAAAAACATTATAACAATTTTAAAGTCATTTGTGAAAACCAATTAAATTATAATTATTATGATAAAATTAAGTATGATATTATACTGCACTATAGAAATGGATGTGTCATACAATCAGTTATGATAATAAAATATTAAACATTTTTCAAAGCATTTTAAAATAAGTAGGAGAAAAGAAGTTTTAAGTGGTAATAAAATCTTAAAGAAAATGTTTTTGGCACTTTTCAAATATGACAGCTATTATTGATGGCAAATTGTACTTGTG